TCAAACGTTAAAATAAACGTTTTTCAAACGTTAAAAAAATATTTCTTCAAACGTTAAAAAAATATTTCTTTAAACGTTAAAATAAACGTTTTTTTAATGAAAAAAAGAGCACTTAACCCATTATTTAAATGTTTTTAAAAATGTTTTTTTTATGTATTTTAAGTATTTTTAAAAATACTTTTTAAAACATTGTGTGCTGATTGGGTACGTGTTTTAAACGACCTATTAATGCAAACTAACATAAAAATCAATGCTTTAGTAGTTATCTTAAGTTTATTGTTATTGTCAACTTCATCCAACTGTCCACCTAAGTCGACAACACCTTTCCATTTGTGGATGTTCATCTCATCAAACGTAACGTTAAAAACAAGCTTTTTTGTGTGTCTCAAGTTCTTGCTTTACTATGTTTGACACGTGTTTTATATTAATATTCTTCAGAAATACCTGGTTCATAATTTTTTGAAAACAACCAATTATTGAGTGTTTTGACGCAAGGTAAACACTTGAGATAACTGCATCTCACAAATTCGTAAGCAGCTGGAGAGTGAAAATGTAAGGTTCTAGCAAAATTTTTTAACTGAGCAGGATTCGCAGTTGTAAATTTTCTTTTCTTTTATACGAAATATTAATTCTTGTAAGTGTTCAGGCAATTCCTATTATAAAAGAAATAATAATTAAAAAAGTTTTTAATATTTTAAGCTAACCATAATCGTTTTATAATGTATCAACTAATAAAAACTAATCGGAAAAAAATGTCGCAGCTTCATGACTGTACTGTACTGTTTTTTATAAAGTGTACAGTTCTTATAATTGTATTATTACTTAAATAAATAAAACTTAAAAATAGAAGCATTAACGTTAACATATTTGGATTTGAGGAAGTTTAGGTTTCTAAACAATTTAATTTATTAAAGCTGTTTAAAATGTAAATATATACAATTTAAGTATTATAGTAAAAAATTACATGAATTTACCCATTACATAATACGCGATTAATTGGAATGTATGTATGTACAATTGCAATATATAATTACAAATTTACCTGTAAATATTCAGCAGCTTTAAAAAATTGTTTTTCTTACATGTTTTTAATTAATTCTTTCATGTCATTAATTTTTTTTTCTTTTCTAACTATGTTCATATGGGAAGCAGACTTTTTACGTTTTTGATGAGTCATTATTATCACAAACCGATCCCACGCTTTATTTGAACTGAAGTCCTCTTTTGAAAAAGACTCTGATTGATATCCGATCATAAAACGATATTTTTTGGGAAAAACGTCGACAGCAGATGATTTTCTAAATATTAATAATACAATTAATAGTACAATTATTTTTTAAAATATTAAGCTATTTTGCAGTATAATAAGTCTTTATAAAATTCTATGTACCTTTTAATATTGTTTCTAGAACTTAAATGATCATGTGTCTCAAAGCCAGTATTCGTACTTGTTGAAAATGATTTATTTTCAGCATTTGTCATATCTTGATTTATTATGTCGTCAAGTACTTGTGTAGATACATTGTTGATTGGTGAAGATAATAATGGTGAAGATTGATCGTTTTGATTTAAAGGGATAGCAGTTGATGTTAAACGTCTCAAAAATGTATATCCATCAGTTTGATGAAATGAATCATTATGGAAGTGATCGCTACATACAGTGGCTGTCTTAGAAATTGTTGTCACACCAACAGCTTCCATCCACTTCTTTTTTAATTCAACGTTAGCAGGAAATCTGTAATTTAGAATTAAATATAGAATAATATTTCCCATTTTCGTATGAATTGTAGTTAAGTGATATTTTGATAAATATTCTAACAATTAATAATTAATAAACTTATCAATATTTAATAAACTTACTTGTGAAAACTTCGAGATTCATCAAATGGAATAGGTTGTTTTTTGCAAATAATACACGTTTTTGTCATGATTATCTCTGTCACGGCACTTTTCTTATTTAATTTCTCAATTTCTGTAATTCAAAATTAAATATAGAATAATATTTGTTATTTTCGTATGAATTGTAGTTAAGTGATATTTTGGTAATATTCTTACTACGCTGAATAATTAATAAACTTATCAATATTTGATAAACTTACTTGATACTTATATAAACTCTTTGCTTGACACTTGTGAAAACTTTGAGATTCATCAGGAATAGGTTGGGTTGTCGATCGATGCGCGCGCAACATTAGACAAGTATAAAGATGGCTCTCTCATTTTTCTCTCTTTCTATTAGCTCACGTTTCCAGACAAAGGCGCTGCTATGTCTCCACCAGTGAGATATACACATACAGGTGCTTTCCATCTAGTGACACAAGCCGAGACAAGTGTCGTTTTGTCTTTGTTACTCACTAAATGCTGAGAAGGCTAGAATGACGTTTGTGTCAACTAGTGTCACTTAATGGAAAGCACCCATACTGGAGTGAGCCTTTCCTAAGAAAACGCGTGGTGGGGGTAGCCGCTGTGCGAGAGTGACAGCCATGCAAGCTGGGGACGTCTGCCTCACTTTAATAA